AGAAGTTACGACTGGCCCTGCTTGCGTGAAAGTATATCAGCTCCACGGCTGTCGTAAATCTACGTTCAAGTGTAGAAGTTAGAACAAGACCAGTTGCACGAATATTATCCCAGCGAGCGCTACAAATCAAATAGTATCACAAAAATTTAAATGACGATGTCTCCCAACGTACATATACTTAATGTTTCTCCGTGCAAGAAAGTCAGGTCGTTACCTTGTCCAAGTAGGCAGCACCGCGTTATGAAACCACGGTCCTTGATAAGAATGCTTAGAATCTATGGTTTTTGTAGGTCTTTCCTCTTCGAATGAGGTTGGCGATGGGTGGAGACAGATCTCATGAAATCATCTCTATTCAGAATAGTATCATTTAAATAAGATATATTTATTTTTTTTTACTAAGATTCTTTAGAAAATGAATATTGTTCAAAGTACAAGCACTTCAATTGTATGAGCACTTATACACGGAGAAAACAGTGTTTTTGACATATATTGGTGGTATTCTATTCCTGGAGTATTGGTGTCTACTGTTTGTGTTCCAGGGTGCCGTCAATACGGTTCGACCGTTTCAATTTATAAGCATTTTGCAATTAAAGGCCACAACGACAGACAAGTGAAGGCACGTTCTCCTGAACAGTGTGGGCACATGTGTGCTTTAGAAACATCTTTCCGGTGTCTGAGCTTTGATTTCAAACACAACTTTGGATGCTTTTTATCTACCTCTGGGTATCTCGACGTCGACAAAAGCTATCAGGAAAGAAATCAAATAGATTGGGTGTTCGGAACCAGAAATTGTGCATAATACATGTAGCTGTGTCTGCGTAGTTGCTGACTCTACGTCGACGAATGGATTGAGAAACAGAAACCAGAACACCACTTCTTCCATTTATACTATATCAGTTGCTTGAGATAATTTTGCACATGCGTCTTTATGATTGGTTTGATATTTTTAGTCTCTAAAAATAGCAAGCCAATCACATGCAAGCATGACTCTAAAAATAACAAGCCAATCATATACAAGCGTGTCTCTAAAAATTTTAAGCCAAACATAAACACGCATGTCTCTAAAAGCTAATCACATTCAAGCATGTCTCTAAAAACAGCAAACCAATCATATACACGCATGTCTCTAAATATAGCAGGCCAATCATATACACGCATTTCTCTTAAAATAGCAAGCCAATCATATACACGCATTTCTCTTAAAAGAGCAATCCAATCATATACACGCATGTCTCTTAAAATAGCTATTTTTCTCATTATTATTTGAACAGAACTAGAAACGAAGATGAAGTAGAACACTTGTCCAGGGCACATGTCTATATCACAATACAGCGGAGAAACAGTGAATAATCCAATATGTCGGACCCTTAATTTCATGAGTAACGTAATTGTTCTGCCCATGTACAAGGGACCCGAACGTAGATAAAAAAATCTGTATATCTCTAAGTAGAAAAAAGCAGACGCTGTTTGAGCAGTCGAAGGACAATGGAACAGTGCCAGTCTCCAAACCCTTTTGAAGAGCTGAATACAGACACCAAAAATATTATTAAGAAGATAAAACAAGGATTCCTAAAGCTCGGTGTCCACGTTAAACTGCGGCATGGTATCTCAGGGGGCTTGCACTATAAAACCGGACCAATGCAAACACGCGCGCTATATGAGTGCAATCATCTTGAACTCGACGTTAAACACACTTCATCCATATGGAGCTCTACACGTGAATTGAAGATTGATACAGATTATGATAATTGTTGTTTGTATTGAAATGTACATTTACTGGTTAGCTGTTTTCTAGGTGTATATTACATTAACTGGCAGTAGTAATATTGTGTTTTTTTCATTCTATCATGTCATCCCCTTGTTTATGTTACTGACATTTTTCCCCCGCTTGTGTACATAACCCGCTTCTCCACTCGACTGTAACCACACCCCAATGAGATCTGAAACGCTTTGAAAACTTTGCTTCAGCACAAAAGTATTCTTAAGAAGACCATACATAAATATTTCCCCTTTTATTTAACTGCTCCGGCAGCAGGATGGTACGACAGTATTTATGTGTTGGCTGTAACGTTGTATATTCCTTGTCTTTGTTAATAGCAATGCATCTATGCAACTACTGTACCCACTGTACGTATTGTATCCGTGTGGACATTGTATCCAACTCGACAGTGGTGTCTGAAGATAGGAAACGAAAAACGTGGTCCACGCACAATACGCTGTAGAATAAATTAAATTCATTTGAAATCATGTCCGGTTAAAAAAAAAGAAAATTGCTATATGTATATGTTTTTACAATAGATATATATTGATTGATAGTCCACCGTACCTCATTCACAATTTCTTACTAGAACGTGGGATACGTCCTTCTTCACAGAAATGGCATGTATCAAACATGAGGCAGTTTGGCGGGGTAAAGGTTTAAACAGGACGTCTACATATGTTTTATATATTACCTCAGTCCAGTAAGTCGAGACTTCAGCCTCGGACAGGGGCTAGGCAGGTAGGTTCTCTTTCGCCTCCGAGAGGCTAACTGGAAACAATGATCCCGGATATGATGTAGCAGCATACGATCAGAGAATAAACGTTGTGGACCCACAGACGGACTTGTGTTGTCAAATGAAGAAGTATCCGGGAGAGCACCAACGTCTACCTGAGATAATGGTCGGCTAGTTGTTGAACGCCGCACTCAGCAATATTCCAGCGATATGACGGCGGCCTGTAAATAATCGAGTCTGGACCAGACAATCCAGTGATCGATATCATGAGCATCGATCCACGCAATTGTGATCGATGACATGCTTCAACCAAGTCAGCGAGCCTGACCATCAGATCCCGTTAGTCGCCTCTTACTACAAGCATGGGTTGCTGAAAGGCTATTCTGCCCCGGATCTTCACGGGCCACCTGGGATAAAAGCACGCATACGTGGTGATACGGGTCGATTCCCAAATTGAAACAATATGTTAATCTAGAAATCTGTGCGGAAGAGAACCTAGTCTGAAACCAACAACCAACATGTGGTTTACAATCAGCAAATGTATTACAAACTTCACTGAGTTGACAAATCAGCACAAATTACAATGACAGTAAACTATAGAATGGTGGTACAATATTCAACAGCAATATATACTGTGATGGCAGTGGTCAGGATCAAATACAAAAAATACAGTGACAGCTAAAGTCAGTGATAATTATGTATATTCACCTAGCGGCGACTGCGGTCAAGCTTTCTACATGGGTAAGGCTCCAAACGATGATGAGTGAGCTGGTTCCAAAGCGATGAAGAGCTTTCCAGACAATGCCATGAGGCTTTATATAAGATGGCTACGCGATAAATTGCAAAGAACAAGGTAGAAGGAAGCGTGGTCTGTTTCACGATAAAACATTGTTCTATCATGACGTCAGATTCGAATATGCAAGCGCAACTCGATTATGTCATATATTGGACAACGTTATTTTTTAGAGAGAAGTGTCTAGAAAGTTGCTCCCCATAGATGTAGCTGGGCTACGCAGGTAAACGCAGTGGCCAAACGGTCGCATCCAATAGTGGGAGGGAAATGATATTAGTATAAGGACAACCACGGACGTGTATAAGGGTATATATAGGTCCGTGGGAGAACAGAATCTACGTGAGAATATGCGGGAAATACCCAACTGAACCCTACTGTTTGTCAAATGGATTTATCCGACATTTCTGCCTGTGTGTATAGTGCCGTGTGTATACCTGTACATGTGTGTTTATTTGTCTGTGAGTGTGTGTATGCGCGTGTACGTGTGTATACTGCCGTGTGTATACCTGTATGTGTGTGTTTATCTGTCTGTGAGTGTGTGTATGCGCGTGTACGTGTGTATACTGCCGTGTGTATACCTGTATATCGTTGTTTATCTGTCTGTGAGTGTGTGTATGCGCGTGTACGTGTGTATACTGCCGTGTGTATACCTGTATATGTGTGTTTATCTGTCTGTGAGTGTGTGTATACGCGTGTTTCTGTCTGTGTGTATAGTGCCGTGTGTATACCTGTACATGTGTGTTTATCTGTCTGTGAGTGTGTGTACGCTCGTGTATCTGTCTGTGTGTTTAGTGCCGTGTGTATACCTGTATATGTGTGTTTATCTGTCTGTGGGTGTGTATGCGCGTGTATCTGTATGTGTGTATAGTGCGTGTGTATACCTGTATTTGTGTGTTTATCTGTCTGTGAGTGTGTGTCTACGCGTGTATCTGTCTTTGACACCATATGTATATGTTTGGTATACCTAATCCAGAATAAATTTCTTTCATTGGTGGTGTTAATGTGTGTTAATGTGTGTGTGTTAGTGTGTGTGTGTTAGTGTGTGTGTGTGTGTGCGTGCGTGCGTGCGTGCGTGCATGCGTGCGTGTGTGTGTGTGTGTGTGTGTGTGTGCCATCGTGTGTGTGTGTGTGCGTGCGTATGTGCTTGACGAATTCTATTCTGAGGACTAGGTATACCTAATCCAGAATAAATTTCTTTCAGATGAGGAATAGTTTATGGTTGGGACATTGGTGGTGTTAATATGGATAAACTCTCTCATAAGAAATGCATCCAGAAAGATATCACGATCGGACAATTATTTACAGTTTTAAGGAAATGCATACACGCAACAATATCCTAAACTACTCATGATATCAACCACTGATTTGCCTTGTCCAGACGTGATTGAGGCGTAGAACACACACAATAAAGCAATACACATTACTAATACTAAAACATATCACACCTGCTTGACAAAAACAGATATTTAACTACGATAAGTGTCCACGTGCAGGTCGACTGAACTAGGGACTATCCGAGATATGCACAACACAAAGATTCATTTATACTTAAATGCACCTGTTACCAACATTTAATACCCCAGCTAGAACATGAAGTTAAGATAAGCATGACTGATCAAGCCATACTGCGTTGTGAACTACTGCAATGACATGTCGCTATTAATAAACCTGACTGCTTAATCATGGAATTTCCAGTCTACTTTCGATTTAATGTTTACAACTAGCCTCGCGTTGCGATAGCAGGGACGTGGCACAAAGAAGGTTTGTATCTCTCTCTCTCCCTCTCTCTATCTATCTTTCTCTCTCCTATCGATTACTAGCTTAGTATAATTCGGAATATAACACTTACATTTCATTATTTTGAAGTCTTTGTAGTAAATGAAACAGATTTCTGTCTATGTATACTGCCAACGCATTATCGTGTCCTATATCACATATTCGCAATGTTCAGAGAGTGCTGCTGTTGAGCTCAGCATGTTTACTGTGAGTCATGTGCAGTAACAACAGGAAACAGACAGGTAGACGAGTCACTGCACAATTTAGTTAATTGGGCACATTGTGTTTCCTTGACAACGTAGTAACATAAACAGGGGTATGTGACCTTATGAAAATGCGGGTTAATCCTTGTTACAATTCCTAATATAAACATTTCTCTTAATGTAACTGAATTAAATTAAGGGTTGCGGGTTAACCCTTGTCACAACCCATAATGTAAACATTACTCTTAATGTAACAAAATGACAGGAAGGGTTGTGGGTTAACCCTTGTTACAATTCCTAATATAAACATTTCTCTTAATGTAACCGTATTACATTAAGGGTTGCGGGTTAACCCTTGTTACAATTCCTAATATAAACATTTCTCTTAATATAACCGAATTACATTAACAGTTGCGGGTTAACCCTTGTTACAATTCCTAACACAAACATTTCTCTTAATGTAACCATATTACATTAAGAGTTGCCGGTTAACCCTTGTTACATTTCTTTATGTAAAAATTACTCTTAATGCATTTTGTTTACGTCAAGGGTTGCGGGTTAATCCTCGTACAACTCTTAATGTAAAATTACTCTTAATGTAAAACAATTACATTAAGGGTTGAAGTGACAGCTAGATATTTTTTTCTACATTTTGGGTTATCACTATGAAGTGCTTATCGGACATTCATGAAACTTCGCAGATTTAATTGATCGTTACGTTGTCTAAATGTGCAAATGACTTTTTCTATATTCCCTCGCTACAACGACCACCTGGTTGCTATAAGCAGGTTTTGTAAAAGGGTTTATGACTCTGACCCTTTTAAACGATTCATATCAAACTTACTGTAGTACAAAGGGTAATATGCAAGGTAACCTCATTTCCGTTACTATCCTAACACCATACAGAAGGAACGGAGGACTCTGGTTGATGAAATGTAGTTATTTTCCGATTTTGTTCGATGTGTATATGTGTTTTGGAAACCCTACCACAATGCCCATACCCATGAACCTATAACTGCTTCCGCGAATGCGACTTTCGGTGGAGTCATTTTGGAGGGGTCCAGATCTAGTCGTACATGGTGGTGCGTTTTTAGAATGATCCATTAACAGAGTTTTAGGCATAACATAATGGACATTTTGAAGCAGTATCACGTAAATATTAGGCATACACCAGAACCATATCATATCAACAACAACAGAAAGTCGAATGCAATGGTCATTTTGTTTTTAAAAAAACACCCCGTCAGTACCGTGTCAAGTCAAATATAGCCATGAAAAGAGAATTTTTATTTCAATATAAAGCATATATTTTGCGGATGTGAAGTCTATACCTTTTCTATAGCAGTTAAGCATATCCTATAGTATCCTGTAGTTTTTCCTTGTGCTGATCATCCACACCTACTTTCAAAGAGAGCACCAATAAGTCAGGGAAATAGTCTTAAATATGGTTAAGTATCTCAAATTCCGACCAATCAGAGGACTCCGTTCCTTTGCTATTGTAATAAAATGTGCTTTGTGTGCAAAAATATATCAAAATATCTTTGAACAAAATCTAACATTTAATTTTCGGGCAATCAGATGCATCGGTTACATTGTCAAAATTTCAGTTGAGTCCTTAAATACATTATTCCTAAATTCCAACTTTGAACAAAATCTCTAAATATCGATCGGTCAACTCTGCATATGCTGCTTTCTGTGGTAACGTAAATCAAGTCATATTGTATAGTGTCCTAAGATACACCTGTGTACCAAGACTGAAAATCGTCAAAATGGCATGTTAGTAATGACAACTTAAAGAAAACCTGTAAATAACGACCAGGTTGTCGTCGTTGAGAAGTTGTTAGAATATGAAAGGTGCAGTGTACTTGCACAAGTTCCAGAAACTGATTGGGAAAGATTATTGCAACCTTTTGTGAGTATTGACGAAACCTGGGTTCACCGCTTCTAGTCCAGAAAGTTAGACATCGTCACGGCTAGAATCCGCGAATGTGGCTTTGAACTCCTATAGCCCCCACCTCAGTCTCCTCATCTCCCCAAGTCTGACGAAGGACTCAAGTTGACTCGTACGATGACGTCGCAGTGGACGCTGGAATACAATCCCTCCAACATCATTGGCAAAACTGTATCAATGTTGAAGGGCATTGTGTTGACAAATAAATCAATTTATCATCACGTCTTTCAATGTGAGGCTCGGAACACATCAATCACTCCTAGGATGAATCATACTGCTGTCGTAGTAAAAGTGTAGTGCATGTAGTGGTTTATCGAACATTTGGCCTCACTATGGTTCATTCTAAAATCCCGGTTATGATAGTGAGTGAGTATGGTTTAAACGCCACTTTTAGCAATATTCTTTTTAAAAAATATGAGCACCCTGTTTTGTCATGTGTTTGCGAGTTAACTGTCGGACCTAGCTACCTAAGCATGTTCGTCGACAATATCTCACATTCATTTTATTTTTTTGTGACAGACATGGACCTGTCTGCTGTCATAAAGGAGAATCTGACATGCACCATCTGTCAAGACATCTATACGGACCCCAGAAGCCTCCCGTGTCAACACGCATTCTGTTACGAATGTCTGAACAAGCACATTATTGTCACTGTTAAAGAAAAAAGAAGCTTCAAATGCCCACTTTGCCGAAAATCAACACGACCAAAAAATCCAAACAAAAGAAAAGAGACCTGGGCTAATCAATTCAAACACGATTTCAAGCTGACAAATATACTTGAGGGTTTGCAACCATATGGTAATCAGTTTTAATTTCTTTTCGTATTATTGTGTTAAAGATTTATTGGTGAATATTTCTTTTAAATTTCAATATGGCTGTACATGGTAATCCCTCTTTGGGAGTAATTTCCCCATTACACATATAGAAAATATTGTTTTCTATTCAGTAATTGTGATACTCCATTGCGTTGTTATTTGTTATATTGTGTGGAATTTACACATCTCTTATGCATTGTTCTATTTCAGTTATCTTTATATTTGACAATAGACTGTGTCTGTATATCGACATGACCTATGCAGTGCCAGGTATGGAAGTCAAGTGTCACATTGCATATTTTTACTTTATCTTCATAGTCCCTGAGGCCACTTCCGGGAGTGGAGCAGTTGCTGGGACATCAACAGCAGCAGCATCTTCAGCAGCAGCTTCAGTGGCATCACCCTCGGACATGCCAACTTCCAAGATGCCCAGACCCAAAATGCCACCTTTACCCCAGCTGAGGCAGGAACCACGGCAAGTGCCAATTGGAACAATTCAGAATAATGCCCATACCGAAAGTAACGAACAGAGTCAACATCATGATATCCAGAGTAGCTCCATACTGCACACAGATGATGCAAGCGACTTGCAAGAAGCCAGTTGTGACAATAGCAGCCGTGCAATTTTGGGATCCGTTGAGACATGTATCCCCCTTGCTGCTGGGGATCAGGTTAGCTATGACCTCACGGTTCTTGTTCAGGGCAAGAAGAGAATAATACTGACCCCTCATTTCGAGGCGAAGAAACTTCTTGCTATTACACTTAATCCAAAAATGGAAGAGGTCAGCAGATGTCCCCTTGACCTTGATGCAACACCTAGTCGCATATGCAAGATCGACAACAACGTAGTGGCCATAACAACGTCATATCCAAATACAATTGCACTCTATAGAATGGAGGGTGAGCTTCTCTTTCAAAATCGAATTAAAACGAAGAAAAGCTATGATGGAATTGCATGTTTGGAAGATGGGCTATTTGTAGTGACAAATCTAACAGATGTTGACTTCATTGACTATGATGGTAAAGTACTGGCCGAGCACAAAATCACAATGCCCAATGTGTTGAGACCAGACAATTGTTATGTCTCTGTCACTCCAGGTGGGGAAATAATCACCACTGATATTTCTGGAAATACCCTGTCATGTATTAAACGGAACGGTAAATTGTTTTGGCAGAAGAAGAAGAAGAGGAAGAGTTATGAAAACCCAATGGGAACTGCTGTCGACTCCAGTGGTGCCATTTTCTTGGCTGAACAAAACTTCGAAATAATTTTGCAGCTGGACAAAATGGGTTCAGTGGTTGGTAACGTTGTGGAGAAATCAGAGCGATTCAGAAAGCCGTCAGCCATTGCTTTAGACAACACAGGGTACATGTTTGTGATTTGTGACTATAACTTTGTTGCTGTTGTGAAGCTATCAGATCATAATTCGTAGAAAAAACATGGTTATTCATACTCTGCATCACAACATTGATTATGGTACTCTTTTCGCTGTGCATGCTTAGGCAGCAGAGAAGCTGAATTGAAACTTTCCTTTGATACGTTCGAACAGATTCATTGATGGTGAAAGTCATTTGACCAAGGATACACTCAATAAACTTGAGACACTTCAACGACGCTTAAACAGTATTTCAGTTATTGCACGGGTGTCGGCTTAATGTTGCAGGAAACATCGAAGTGAAGCAAATGACCATCGTGGTCGATACGCCTGGGATCAAATCAGGGCGAACCAATGTCCATTTCAAAAGAATCCAACTATACACACGATTGGCGACGCCGATGACGACTTAGCCATCAGACAGATGCTGACAGCGCTGATCCGACACAATCAGCATTGCATGCTCTACGAAGTTGTTTTTAATTATTTTGTCATGGATGAAGCAAACTGTGATGTAAGCTAAGTGTGTATTTTATGCACTACCCTTGTACATATATTTATGAGCTGACGCATAGGTCGGAGTTGGACGGTTGAGAAGATTGTCACCTTCTTATTCAACACTTAATCTGTAAGTGTTAACATTGTAACTGTATGAAATATATTACTTCATGTAGATCCTAATAACAATCCGGAGATTCAGCAGGACATATTCGCGCGGCTCAGAGGTTATGTTAGGACTCCCCTAATCATGTTGCATATGATGTTAGAGCAGGTATTCCTCTCATTGTGTATATGTTATTTAGGAGATAAACCCACTGTGTTTTGGAATTTGATGTAGTCCCACTGTAGAGTAGATACCTCTTGTTAGCTTAAGTGCGGTGTTTCAAATGTATAAATAAGAGGTATCTACTCAACAGTTGGACAACATCAAATTTCGAAACACAGTAGGTTTATCTCCATTCTACCATGACGGCAACAGCGCTTTGAAAACGGTGCTCTCATTCAACGCGTAAACAGGGTACAAAGGTCCGCAATCTTAGAACATTCCGAAAAATAGCCACAGGTAGTAATATATGTAACAAATATTACTTAAGTTCAACATTAAAATACCCATAGTCGACGTCTTGAGTAGTTCAAAATATGTGTTCAAAACACATAGTTTTTTCAAAAAGAAGTTGACAAATAACCTCCAAACTTAGTTCAAAGATAGATGTTTTAATTTTATCGCAACCTGCTGTGCACTGTTTGGACTCACCAAGTCATTTCTTGGAAATCAGCGAGGGACGTCACTTCTTGGAAATCGAACATACCATTTCCATTGTAGGTTTGAAAACATTTCTCCAACAAACGTTATGAATTAACTTTCTACTATTTATTTTACATGTGTAAATATTATTAGTTAGTTTGCAATTACCCCAAGTAAATATTTAAAAAGATTCAAAATAAATGCCTCGATCAACCCCCGAACTTGGATGTGGCAGAACTTGACCTACACCACGGTTACTCACTCCTCACAAAAGTCAATGGCTGACAAGGTTGTGTTTACATTTTCCTTGCCTCAGACAAGTTACACGAAGCAAAATGACAGCCCCGATCTATGCCGTGATTCAACATTAACCTGTAGATTTACTTGGAGTGAACATGCTGGTACAATATGATTACCAATGGAACTGAGTATTACCAAAGAGCCGCTTATAAGGCCAACGGGATATTTTGACCCAAGGAATCTGCATGATTTGACCGGCCAATTTCAAGATTTCAAGATTCAAAGCCAGCGTGTGAAAGCAGTGAGATATTTTTGGCCCAGAAATAGTGGGGCGTGTTCTAAATGAATTTCATCAAGTTTGATAAGCTGTGATTTGAGTGATGTTGGGACATTGTTTTCGAAGGGAGGATTGTTTTCTGATGGACTTTCAAATCCCCTCCTGTCAATTCCTTACCGTGGTGGTTGACAATGCATATCGATCACAAAAAGGTTTGTAAACAACATGTTGTCATGAATAAAGTATATTTTAACCCATATAATGTTATATTTTACTTTCGTTGTTGTTTCAATGACGAAATTGCCTGTTCCGAATCGCCATCAAACAGTTTCATTAACATTTCATTTGCATGCAAAAAAATATTTCTTCATAAAGTCTTGCAATGTCATCATAAGGATTACGGCCTAAAACATCATATCATTACCAAAAACATCTGATATGAAACTACTTTACTTCCTCTGTTAGATGCTAGGCCATCTATTATTTTCGCGAGAGTCTTTACCCCAGCATGTATTAGAGACCTGGCTTGTATAACAGACCCAGCGTGTAATAGAGGACATATCGATACATGGGCTATCGATGTATTAATGGGCACGTTTTTTGTGTGAAGAGGCTTAATATATTTAAAATGGGGTTTCCGTAGCAAAATGGAAACCTCTTTCTGACCAATCATAATCAAGCATTCTTCAATGTTGTAATTTGCTGGGATTTTATGGGCAGTAACTCTGTCAAAATTAGTCGAAACGTAACGGGACTGCGATATGCGTATTATCAACATGTCAACATCTTGTGCGTAGAGTTTCGAGATATTCTCTGGAAACTGTAGGAGGAGGTGATTTCACAAGCTTAGTACCCTCTCTCATAATAAGGCAAATGAAGCTCCGTAAAACAGGGGCAGTAACTCTGTCAAAACTAGTTGAAATGAAACGGGACTGCGATATGCGCATCATCAACATGTAAACATCTTGTGTGTAGAGTGTCAGGGATATTCTCTGGAAACTGTAGGTGGAGTTGATTTCAGCCGGCTTAGTACCCACTCTCATAATAAGGTAAATGAAGCTCCGTAAAACAGGGGCAGTAACTCTGTCAAAATTAGTTGAAACAAAACGGGACTGCGATATGCGTATCATCAACATGTCGACATATTGTGTGTAGAGTCTCAGGGGTAATCTCTGGAAACTGTAGGTGGAGTTGATTTCAGCCGGCTTAGTACCCTCTCTCACAATAAGGTAAATGAAGCTCCGTAAAACAGGGGCAGTAACTCTGTCAAAATTAGTTGAAACAAAACGGGACTGCGATATGCGTATCATCAACATGTCAACATCTTGTGTGTAGAGTGTCAGGGATATTCTTTGGAAACTGTAGGAGGAGTTGATTTCACAAGCTAAGTACCCTCTGTGAGACGGACAGACGCACGGACGGACGAACAGACGGACGGACGGACGGACGGACTGCGCCCCGACATAATCCCCCTTCGGCCATTCTGGCCCGGCGGGGGATAAAAAGTGACATCACTATTTACAGTGTTCACAAGAATGCCGACGCCGCATTGGCAGAGTTTGCGCTCAATCGGTTGTTTTTTTCATCTTGGTTAAAATCCCTATTAAACCTCGTTTTCAAAACCAAAATATTGATTAAAATGTTCAGCATAAACTTCATGACAGGCTGTATTGAATGAAAGTAAGCTATTGAACTGACAGTGAAAACGAACAATAGGTGAACTGCCTGAGATATAAAAATGTCTGATCTTTATTTTCTTGTGCAAAGAACCAAAACAACATTAACTGTTAAATGAGTTTCTTCCCTCAAATCTAAAACGTCATCCTCTTTCGTTTCACTCACCACTCGCCCTTTTCCGTAACCTGCAAGAAGACTCGTCCCCTTATGGATGAATGTTATGTGCGAAAATACGACAAACCAATCAGAATGCGCGTATGATTTCAAGTTCATCGTCAAATAATCCCTTAGACATAGTTTTTGATTTTACATATGTCTTGCATCTAAAAATAGACCGCGTTTCCAGATGTGCTTTAAATTGCATCTGAAATATATATAATATATGGGGAAATATCTGTGAACCATTACGCAACGAGTTAATTGAGACGGAACCTGGTCGCAAAAATGGCCATGAGAGGGGCACCAGTCGCTATTCGGCTTGTCCCGGAATAACACCAGTTGGTCACGAATGCTTTAGTTCTTGATCCAGGAGTCCCAGCCATCATCTTTTCAAGGGAGCCAACTGTAGGTTTCCCGTCGGCGAATATGCATGACGACGTAGTTGTGCTGTAACTGACGCCAAGACATCCAGGGTGCAGGAGGCAGGCACTGCAGCAGTCTATCCTTGACCTTGCAGACGCCGTCGCCAGAATAGCCGTCGACATCTTGGCTCTTGGCATCAGGAGAGTCCAGTACAGGCTGCCTAATGCATGTGTATAAACAGTTTGTTCACACAAAAGGAAGGAGTAATGCATATGTTCGACACATTAAATAATACCACATGACATTTCCAGGTTCGATCACAAAACGTTAAAGGGTCTTGAAAACTTAAAGTACAAAAACATATCTTAAAACTTCACATCGAATTAGCACCAAGGTGAATGGGTGCTTAATGCGTTAAGTGAAGGATACAACACGTTCCGAGGTTTTCGTTGAAAATGTAAACCCGCCTGGAAGGGAAAATCCTAAGGCCCGAAGGCCCGCAGGATCTTTCCGACCAGGCGGGTTTACATTTTCAACCAAAACCGAGGATAAGTGTTTTATCTGACTTATAAACCGAAAAAAAGAAACTTAAATCAACATTTATCAACATTTTTATGTTTCGAACATACTTTCCATGAACTTTAGGAAACGCGCGTAAAATATCTGTTGCTGGCGTACGGATCTTGAAAAGGACATTCTAAAAACCAGTGACGCTTATCAACACCTCTCTAGCCTCGTGGTACACTCACTGGGCTACAGATATGAAGGTTGCGAGTTCGATCCTCGGGAATATAAAGAAAACATTTGTCATTTGATTTTACATTTCATTACATGTTACAATCTGAACGGAAGTTATATTAATAAAATACCCAGGACATTATATAAAATCCCAGGGACATTACAACGTCCCTGTTGAGTAGATTTAACCCGACTGGAAAGTAAAACCTCACAATAGGTTTTAATGCCTATAGAAAGAAGTCTCTTATTAATAGCGATCCCAATGAATAGGTTTATAAATATATATACTCAGCGTCAATAGGTTTTAATGCCTATAGAAAGAAGTCTTACTTAATAGCGATCCAAATGAATAGGTTTATAAATATATATACTCAGCGTCAATAGGTTTTAATGCCTATAGAAAGAAGTCTTACTTAATAGCGATCCAAATGAATAGGTTTATAAATATATATACTCAGCGTCTGATGGGTCACGCAGATAATAAGAGAAACCACGTCGCATTTTCAACTTCAAAGAGAGCATTTCATATGGAATGAACCATATTATACCGACATTGAATGATTCACAAGTGCAAGTGCTGGAAGCGTTCAGGTTGTTGTTTTGGGGAGCTTTTTCCATTACCTTCTATCTCGCACTTTTCCTTGTTCTTAATTATCGTTGTCTTTTTTCAGTTCCATAATAGCATCCAGTTGGTATGACGTATGTATAAAAAAACATATTCTTCTACTATTAATCACATTGTGAACATACTCAGACCTATTGACGCTTGTTGGAATACGTTTATTTTTGACACTCTTCACAGACGGGTGACACTTCTAGAATGAGGCTGAGTACAGACAAAACAACACATCTAGCACTATCATTACCGTGTTAATAACGAGAATACACTGACACATACGACTCCATACATACATGACCTTCGTAATTGACAAGCTTAAGCTAAGACGTTGCATATCCATCAAATCTAAACAGAAACCTCTCAGACTTACATGGCTTGATGTCTTCACCGGCTCCAGTGCAGTTTCCGCCTAGTTCCGGAAGTGGATTGTTGCAGTAACGGACCCGACGTTCCACAGTCGGCTCCCCTTGACAACGTGACAACTGTGTCCAGGGACTCCATCCGCCGTCTTTGTTGTCTGTGATAAACAAAATCAACATCTCTAAGCTCAGCCAGTTACCAGGAACACCACGTTTGTTTCTTGCAATAGGTGAGGTGAAATTAGGTTTAACGTCGCGTCCAAGGTTATTGCACTTATATCGCCACGTGCATGTGTATGTGTGTGTGCTTATAATAGTCCGGACTTACGCCGATATATAGTGCTAGCTCACTGAGATATCATACCGCATAAATAACATAAATACTCCACTCAGGCACAGTATACTGACTCCGTGCCGACCAGTCCTTGTTTTAGCCCCATTATGCCGAGCGCCAGACAGGGTTACAACAAGTATCATCTTTTAACGTATTTTGGTATGACGCGACTTGGGATCGAACCCCGGACCCTCCGCTCTCCGGGGGGACGCTCAAACACTAGACTACGGACGTTTCTTGGTATAAAACATCCTGTGAAAAACGTCAGGAATATTTATGACAAGGCTAATATTTTTGTTGCGATAATATTGTTCTAGCAGTAAGATTGTTACAGCTCCCAGACTGTTGTAGCAGGAAGATTGTTAATGCACGTCCCTTGGGCACACCGGAAATCTGTGATTGTGGGTTCGAATCCTGGTTCACCCCGATTATGTTCCTAGGTTTGTCAGCACCATCATCGTGGGTTTCACTAAAGTTGTTAACGTCTGTGACCTACATCACTTCGGGCGTTCCTCCCACATTGAGCTGACACGCCGCGATATGACAGGAATACAGTTCAATACTGAGTTTAACAATGCTCACTCATTCACTCTGTATTCTATCATCTGCGTTCCTTCAACATATGTCTTCTGTCCATCCTATCTATCGTAGGAGCGGTCGGGTAGCCTAGTGGTTAAAGCTCGTCACGCCGAAGACCTGGGTTCGATTCCCGACATGGGTACAATCTGAGAAGCCCATTTCTGGTGTCCCCCGCCGTGATATTGCTGGAATATTTCTAAAAGCGGCGTAAAAAGCCATATTCACTCACTCACTACCTATCTATCTTAAGTCAACATACCTGCAGATAGCGTTTGATTCTAACATTTTCAAGCTTGGGCACGCTAATGTGTATTTGACTTCAACAAGACTTTGACAAATCGCTAGGACAATCTTGGAACTATAACAATCTTAGCTCTACAACAATCTAAGTGCAGTGACAATCTTAGCCCAAGGGCAATCTTGGCACTA